ATTTCTGTGTCATATTTACTTTATGTGATGTGATGCCCTTACACTGTGAAGTATCAGTGAAAAATATGATAATATATATGTGCCAGTACCACATGCTTAATATTTCATATGCTTTAATTTGTATTATGCTTATACTTTGTTTGTATATATTATGAAACTGATAGTGATTGGGGTAAAGTGTATGTATATATATGTGTGTGTGTGTGTGTGTGTGTGTGTGTGTGTGTGTGTGTGTGTGTGTGTGTGTGTGTGTGTGTGTGTGTGTGTGTGTGTGTATGTATGTATGCAAGTATGTATGTGTGTGTATGTATGTATATATATATATATATATATATATATATATATATATATATATATATATATATATATATATATATATATATATATATACATATGTATGTATGTATGTATGTATGTATTTATGTAGGTTTTTATATATATATATGGTATTGAGTTTTTCAGCTCTAAGGCATTATAGAATTTCCAATATGCCTGTAAGCTTTTCATATTTACAACACTGCTGGGGACCATAGCAATATTTTCTCTTTAACAGAAGCAGCCTACTTCTAGTATTATGTCATACAGTTTATATTTGTCAGGGCCGATTTTTGGACCAGCTTCTATTATCTAATGCTCAGTTGCATCCAAATTTCCCATGAATTACTTGAAGACCAAAGTTCACCTGAAACAGCCTGCAACCAAGGCTCTTCAGTGCAGTAAGGCAGAATAAAGGGTCTAAAATGGTTAATTCTCATCCCTACCAGCCTTATCCCCCTCACCCACTCCAGTGCAGAGTATGTGAGTGTCAGTCCTTGTATTTTTCCTCTGTTTTTTTTTCTGTGTGGAGAGTTGGCAAGACTCAGGTTTCACTTTTCAGACTTAGCCTTGGGTCTTACGTCACTGCTGGCTACTGAATTTGCTGGTTTGTTCTCAATACAGTTCTACTCCCTTGAGCTTGGCACATTGGTAGAGTATCCAAAGTTATTTTTTTAAGGACTTGACTTTTCTTTGGCTTTTTTCTCCCTGTTTCAGCCTGTGGTGAGTCTTGTTGATCTTTTTTTTTTTTTTTTTTTTTTTTTTTTTTTTTTTAATGCTTTTCCTTCTTGTAGTTGATTGTGTTCCTGTATCTTTTTTTTTTTTTTTTTTTTTTTTTTTTTTTTTTTTTTTTTTTTTTGTGTGTGTGTGTGTGTGTGTGTGTGTGTGTGTGTGTGTGTGTGTGTGTGTGTGTGTGTGTGTGTGTGTGTGTGTGTGTGTGCATGTGCGTGTGTGTGTGTGATGTTTCTGGGGTTAGGGCTTTTGTATTTCCCATTTCTTTCATGTATGTTGGCTTTCTGGTTGCCATGTGGTTAATCCTCTGCATACCTTTGTGGTCATAATAATTTGGTACAGACTATCACTTAGTGTCTCCTAGTCTCTGAAGGTGTGAAACATAGATACTCTTTTAGTAATTGTTTGGTATGTTAGTGTTTCCTTTGTACCTTTCACTTTCTCCTCCTTTGCTGGATCAGGCTTTTGTGTCAGTCCTTGAGGACAGATAATGGAGTGTAGATGTCTTATTCTCTTTCTGTAAAACATGACACAAGCATTTCTCTCCCTTCACATCCTCCCGCTACTCCTGTTTTTGGACCTATGTTGGAGTGGGTGAGAGGAGTGAGGGTGCTGAGAACTAGGGGTCAGCAGGCAAACTCTTGGTTCTGCCGCCTTGGTAATGAAGCACTTTGCTGCATTAGGTGCATTGTGTATTTGCATAATAAATTTTCTTGCTAGTTACAAAACAGGCGTGTGACCTCAACAGAGAAAGAAATAGAATCTTCCATCTATCAAATCCCTTATTATTTTAATTTGCCATGAATACTAATACTGCTTTAGTCTATTTTCTGTTTTAGGCTTTTGCACTAGGCACAGGGAATAGCAATATTGGTCAAATTTACATTCCCAGGTAAAACCATATATATTTATTTTATTATAAAAAAAATCAAATGCAGCTTTCTAACCAGATATTATAATTGCAAAGAGGTACTGATATTTCACAGTGTTTGGTGTGTAAACCTTTAACCTATGGTTGCAGTAACTTAATGAAGACATCTGAACTCTGAACTGATTTACTGGCAAGTCAGTTTGATTGACACTATTGCATCCTCATATACTTGTAAATCTTTCTTTTCTTCTTCCATGGGTATGCATAGTGACTACCTCCTCATTAGGACAAAAACAAAACAAAAAACAATACACTGAATCTGGTACTAAAATGCAAGTAATAATATAAATTCAAATGTTGTGAAGGTGTCACTTGTTTAGTAACCATTTTGTTGGAAGTAAACTTTATATTTTATTAGTGTGTATACGTTAATTCCATATATTTAAAATCATTATGGACTTCAACATCATTTACTGATTGTGAATAAACAATGTTGGTCTTTATTTAAAGTGGGTAACTCAGATTCCAGGCGGTTTATGGAATCTGATGTTAGTCATAGGGTTTGTTTTCCCTGTAGACTTTGCACCTTCATCTGAAAAAAGGAAACTAGAATAGTAAAAGTGTATATTTTTTGTGTTTAGTATTTGATTTCCAGAATGTGTTCCTTATATCCTATGAAATAATGTGAAAGTATATGGATGTAGTTTAAGTTCTTGTGGAGATAAATATAATTCATTTTGACAAATAGTCTGAGTATTTTGGCTCAACTTAAGGGTGCAATCCACCTCTCTCTCTCTCTCCCTCTCCCTCTCCCTCTCCCTCTTCCTCTTCCTCTTCCTCTTCCTCTTCCTCTTCCTCTCCCTCTCCCTCTCCCTCTCCCTCTCCCTCTCCCTCTCCCTCTCCCTCTCCCCTCTCCCTCTCCCTCTCCCCCTCTCCCCTCTCTCTCTCTCTCTCTCTCTCTCTCTCTCTCTCTCTCTCTCTCTCTCTCTCTCTCTCTCTCTCTCTCTCTCTCTCCTTCTAACTCTCCCTCTCTATCTATCTCTCCTTCTAACTCTCTCTCTCTATCTATCTCTCCTTCTAACTCTCTCTCTCTCTCTATCTCTCCTTCTAACTCTCTCTCTCTCTCTCTCTCTCTCTCTCTCTCTCTCTCTCTCTCTCTCTCTCTCTCTCTCTCTCTCTCTCTCTCTCTCTCTCTCTCTCCCCCCCCTTCTAACTCTCCCTCTCTATCTATCTCTCCTTCTAACTCTCTCTCTCTCTCTCTCTCTCTCTCTCTCTCTCTCTCTCTCTCTCTCTCTCTCTCTCTCTCTCTCTCTCTCTCTCTCTCTCTCTCTCTCTCTCTTAATTACTTCAGGTAATATTCCCAGATAGAATGCAGATTTAGTTTTTCTGCATCTCTCTTTTTAAGAAATCCAATATACTTCTCCATTAAAAAAAAAACTAAGAATATTCAAATAAGCACACTCCTGCAGCTAAATACTAGACACTGGTAGCTGGCAAGAAGGGACTTTGCACAAGCTCACATAAAATGTCATAACGTGCCACATCATTGTCTTCATAGTCACCATCATTATCATCACCATTGTCATTAACAAAAAAAAAGAAATAAAATCATTGCAGATTGTATTTTACTACGACTCCCTGCTCTGGTTCCAATCCCATAGGGCAATATAGATATTTAAGGCAGCTGAAAATCCCTGAAAAAGACATAAGCTTATATCTTTAGATTTAGTGCAATGTCATTATAATTTTTAGGAGTCATTTATTTCTAAAGGATTTCTTGTAAAGTGAAAAAAGACAAAAAAGTGGAACCACACCAAAGTGCCCATCGACTATGTAAAGTTACTCACATTAAGAGAGTTGTATTGTAATTATATTTATTCAGTGTCTAAAAATATAGAAGAAAAATGTGTGAATGATATACCTGTTAATGTATATGTAAATGAAACTTTTTAATTTTAAGATGCATTTCTTTCATCCTTACTGTTTTCCCTGGCTGAAATTCATGCAAGAGTAGGGCTTATGAGAGAACGTAATCTTCACCAGGAATACTAATGTGACAATGAACAGCTTCATGAAAATAGAACAAGCCTGACTTTTGTGTGCGAAAGAAATGGCATTTTCCATCCATCAGATCTCTTATTACTAAAATGTTCTTTGTTATTATAACTTTGGGAATAAATATGTTACGACTGCTTCCTCTATTCCCAAGTTTTCAATTAGACCGAGAGATCTATTTTTTTTTTCTATTCAGGCAGTTTTAATTAATGCTCTGTTTAAAATATATACACTGATCTCTTGTTTCATGCAAGAGACCACCATAATCTCACTCAGCAAGTCATATTCCTGGATGTGATTTCTTTTCTTTTAAGAATTACATACTTGGCAAAAAAAGTCACAGTTTAAGAAAGAACAAATTTTATGTGTGATCAAATACAAACTGTATATTAGGAAATAAATTAATAAATTTTCTTCTAGTCCATTCCCAAATTAAGAATAATGAAGTTAACCAGTTGTAAATGTAACTATTTAAAGAACATAGAGGGAGAAGGGGCTTTATTGTAAGGAAATTCAAATCTACTGTGTGATTAAAGTCAGGAGGGAAGGAGGGAGGGAGAGAGTGAAAGAGGAAGGGAGGGAGGGAGAGAGTGAGAGTAAGAGGGAAGGAGGGAGGGAGAGAGAGAGAGTGAGAGAGGGAGATGGTGAGAGTGAGAGAGGGAGGGAGAGAGAGAGAGGGGGGAGGGGGGAGGTATAGAGAGGGGGGAGGGGGAAAGAGAGAGAGAGAGAGAGGGGGGGAGGGGGAAAGAGAGAGAGAGGGGGGGAAGGGGAGAGAGAGAGAGGGGGGGGGAGGGAGAGAGAGAGAGAGAGGGGAGAGAGAGAGGGGGGGGAGGAGAGAGAGGGGGGGGAGGGAGAGAGAGAGAGCAAGAGGGGGGAGGGGGGAGAGAGAGAGAAAGCAAAAGAAAGAGAGAGAGAGAGAGAAAGAGATAGTGGAAGAGAAAGAGATAGAGATAGAGAGAGAGAGAAAAAGAGAGAGGGAGGGGGAGAGAGAGTAAATAAACCTTGTAGGTATTGAAACTATCAAGCATTATGTATATATTCAATTTTATTCAAAAACATAACAATCCATGACAGTAACAAAAGCTTGGAAAAGGGGGTAAACAGGAACAGTAATACTCTTTTAAACGGCAATCACTCTATTTTTCCAGCTTGAGCCACATAAGGTTTTCACTCAAGCCTTCATACCGTATTGCTGTTCAAGAGAGATTATCAAACCTACTTAGAAAGCGCAGAATAGAGAGAAAAATTTTCTGAGCATCACAAACAAGAGAAGTATTTCTAAACATAACAACATTAGTGTCAGCTCTCTATAGCACCATCTTCCCATTGGTCCACAATATTAAGTTATTCCAGGAACCCAGTAATGTGTTTTATTCCAATGTTTTATGATAGAAATAAAATACCAAGTCTTGCACATAGCAACTAAGGCTGCACCCCAAAGATGCGTGCATAGAACAACAAAAGATAACTGTATCCTAGTCCACATCATACTTTATGTGCTATAAGCCTCAGATAAAAAGAAAAAAGCAAATAATCATCTGGGTACAGATTCATAATTACAATATTTATGTTACAACTCTATTTGGGTTCTTACTCTCACTAAAAATAATTCAACAATTTGAGCAATAGTAAATATTTCACTTTACAGCTAACTGCCAAGTATCAAATATATAAATATATATATTCATACATATACTTATGTTGGAAAAATATATATTTCTAAATTTTCCTATGTGCTTATTTGTGACTGAAAGATTGAATATATATGTTCAAAGAAGTGTGCCAATTGCAATTTTTATATTTCTGCACTAGAAGAAATACTGAAAAGCTGAAACTCTATCTGCTAGCTAGAAGTTAAAGTTAAAACTTTGCAATAAATTTTCTATAATACAGAGACTAGTCTAATCAACACAAAATGCCTCACCAGCTCTTAAACCTAAAGTTCACAACCACTGAAATGATTTACCTTGCAAATAAATGATAAATAAAATAACAAAAGTCCCAAAGGTGAAAGTTGGATTTGCGGAATGTTATCGGAGGTGGAATGTATTTTCAGTTGTTTCTCTGTGTTTTGGTAAGTGATTTTTGCTTTTAATAATCAAGTGTGTTGCTTCAATGCCAATAATCAATGGACATGGTGGACTATAGTATACAATAGCCAAAACTATTCCCATATATAGAGTCTCTACATAGAAATCCCAAAATATGTAAACTGGTGTATATTCAAGCAGAGAGAGGCACTCTTTAAGGCTGATTCATTCTCTTCAATGATGCAAGAATGAGATCTACAGAAGGCCTATCACTTGGCACTTTACTATGATATATAAATTCAAGTTTTGCATGTTTATCGACGATGAAGTCCCCTCCCATTTGGTGTGGGTCGTCCTCAATGTCTGCATATGCCTTTGGTAGTGGTGTTCCCTTGGCCATCTGAGCACCATAAAAACCTAGGGCTGTTGAGTTCCAGACAGACACGATGGACCTGTTTGAAGAAAACATAAGCTATCACATATATATAAAAATATTGCTATATTCATCGTCATTACATGGACATAACTATAGGGTACACAAAGTACTGACTACTATCTAGATTTGATCATGGAAATTCTGTCTGGCTGAAATATCTGGCAAACAAACTATTACAGATAACAACAATCTGTACTTTATTCACTAAATGAAAAGAATTCTAAATGATGATAAAAAGAAATCCTTTTTAATCAATAATAATAATAATAATAACCTTCAAATATTATGCAAAATTAGTCAACAATATTTTACTGTGAGTGCAAAATCAGTGAACATGCTAATTCCTTCAGATATATTCTTTATTCTCTTGCAGTCCTTACCATACTAAATTATCCCCCCTCTCCTAGCACAGAGTGGCCTCAATACATTACCTTTTCAACCCAAGTTTCTGGTAAATGGAAAGAGTTGGTTCAGTGAAGTAAGGGAAAGGACATTGAGTTTCCTCCAGCCATCTCCTTGCACCTGACATCTCCCCAAATGTTAATACCACCACATTGCAACCAGCAGCAGTGAGTTCACCCTGTTCGGTGAAAAATAGAGATTACACCAAATTAGACCTAGGCTGTATTCTACTGCTAGTGCATAGTTATTGTATACCTTGTGCCTTTTTAAACATTTTAAAAATGACAATAAAACAATAGGTGTTAAAAAAAAATCAGTAATAATGCTGGCATGGTACAGATGAATATATAAATAAAACAAAAATAAAAAAATAGTTCAGACTAGATAGGTCACTCACTTGTCTCTCTGCCAGCTGGGCCACGTGGATGCGTCATGGAAGTCAGGCAAAGTGCCTATTTAGCACAAGTAGAGTCCTCTCCTGGGGTAGCATTGGGAGGAGGTCATGTAAATTGACTTCCGCCCCAAGCTGGTCATGCAATGAATCAGGCACTCGATGGAGAACTACATCTCTAGGAGCTGCATCACCAACCTCTGGCTTTACAATGGATTTTCTCTCACCTTCCCTGGCTTCCAGTTGCCTAAGGAAGTTGGTCCATTCATCCTGCAGAGGATTTTGAGGATAAAGATGATAGCTGGATGTGTTAGAGAAAGTAATGGTTCCAGAAGTATTATAATAAGTTGTTTTAATAGGAGAAAAGTCTATGCACTCCTTAAACTGTTACATTAGCAAGATCTTATAGATCATTATAAAAGATCATCCTATGAATTACTTTTATACACTGTAGTTCTAAGAATACACTTAAAAAATCTGTTTCTATTAACAGACTTTTACACTCTTTTGAGACACATTGTTTTGATGTTATGAATACAAACAAAAATTCACTAGAACCCACACCTCAACCTCCATAAGGCACTCTGCGGTCTTCTTAACATCTCTGCTGCCCTTACTGATGAATTGGTTCAGAGCCTCTCTGTCTGCTAATCCACTCCTGAAAATAATACACAAATAATTTCAGTAATTCCTCTTCTATCATATTGAGCTACTAAATCAAAATATGGGTTATTACAATACAGCAGGAAGCAAGCCATGAAAATCTTGCACTTTTCCTTTTCCTTTTTTTTTTGTCTATTTTGATCAATCGTGATTGGCCTCTATATGACTTCCCCTTCCCCCCCCTTTAATTCATCTTCTCTCCCTAAATCTTTTCTGACGCCTTTTACTTGCAATCTTCTACTCTCCTCTTTCTCTAACTGTTTTCCTGCATTTCCATTTTCTGTCCCTTTCACTTCTCTATCTATTAGCAAATGTAAATATTTCTAAAGAGGATGAATTCATGTCAAACTTACATAAAGGGAGTGTAATTGCTTCTGACAACTCAAATGGTATTCAGACACATACCTTTTAAATAACTGCTGATAGACTCCAAGACCTTGACACAGGATTCCAATACCTTTGCTAACAAAGTTTCCACCAAGCTCTGCAAATGAAAATAAAAATGATACTCTTAATGATCCTACACATAAGACAACTAAGCGTAAGAAGTAGACATAAGAAATAGAAATAGAAAACAGCATAGACTCAATTGTGACCTAAACTAGTTATTTAGTACTTATGCCATATCTAAATTTACTATGATTTTTAATTACACATTATTATTTCTATCAAATATATTCAATTAAAAATAATTATAAATCAAATCACTTCTCTTGTTCCTTGCTTATTAATTCTAATCCTGCTCATTATCACTAGAATCCTAAAAATGGACACATTTCATGAGAAGCTATAAACAAATATTTATTTCATCATTCTGATGGTTTTTAATTCAGTTGATTTACACACAACTGCATGTGTCTTTATCAATACATTCACTGGATACAAATATTGATGTAAGTATTTAAATATAGATCAATATTTGTAACCAGTGATATATGTATTTATACATATATCACTCCTTTTCATAGAAGTATTTATACATATATGAAAAGGAGTAGTAGATGTGCTCCCTGGGTGGCCAGGAGGACGCTCTCTGATCTCTAATAGAAGTCTTCTGATTTTGCCTTTTCCTTAATCCTCTCTTCTCTTGTATTTGTTTTTCTTCAAGGAGGCTTGATATAATTCACATATTGAGGAAATAAAGTAAATAAAGGTCTTTACTGTAAGCAAGAAAGATACATTTTCTTTTCTGCAATTCCAGTGCCATTAAGTATTTGTAATGTCATGAAGGTCCCTTTTTGTAATACTTCTAGTACCTCTCTTCTACTGTAACTACTAATAATGGTGATTATGACACTAATGAACAATGACGTGCATCAAATATTTCCAATTCTTTACTTTTCCACCTGTTATAAAACATATTTCTTTATAAAGCATATATGTTATGTGGTCTGGCTTTGTATATGTTCAAATATAGCTCGTTTTATATTTGTGTGCCTTTTGTAGTATGGTCAGTATCTTTCTTAGTATATTAATCATCACCTTATTAATTACAAGTATTGCCTAGTATGCATGAATATTTTGCATAACAAAAAAACAGCCTAAGTAATACGTCACTTCATCAATGAATGAATTTTTCCTTGCCATGGCTGTTTTATCTTCTTAATTTTTTTTGTTGTGGTTTACTATAGTGCTAATTCTTTTTCCTCTTTTCTTAGTTAAAGATGAATGTATTACTTGTTAAGCTTTTTAAGATTAAAATATTATACTCATTTCTTTATCATATTCAAATTCAAATCCTATAAGGGTACTTCTTCTTAAAGTTATTTGCGTGAACTACATGCCTTGAATATCATTTTGCTTCCCTCATACAAGCATGAGTAACACAGACTTACAACAGTGTATGGTCAAGCACATAAAGTGTTGCCAGAGGTCACCATCCTTGGCCAAACCAAACCACTTGGAAAGCTGTGGAGAAACTTCCAGGTACAGTTTATCTTTAACCCATTGCCGCCAGGGAAAATAAATAAAAATGGGGAAAATGCTGTACTCATTTTTCATATTTTTGTGAAATATCTCTGTACATAGATAGCTCTGCTAGTCCTGATTTCACCTTTCCTTAAATTGGCGGGAAAAACGTATTCTTACTAGTGCTATAAATATAGATGGTGTTATTTTTAACAGTAAATTAGGATAACGTTAAATATTTTCATAAATCGATGAAAAGGGTGAACGGGCGAGACAGGCAGTACTCGTAATTGGCTCACTGGTGACTTAGTACAAGTGTAGCCATCTATGTGTAAAAACAATCGAACAAGTCAGCTCACAGTGGGCATCCCCAGCGGCAATGGGTTAAATAAATAATGATTTCATACACTTGTGTGTGTGTGTGTGTGTGTTCCAAAAACAAATGTTGGGGCTTAATGTAAATACAAATGGTTATTGTCTGTTGTATAATCTGAAGACTAAACTTAAAATTTTGTTCACTACAACTTGGGAAACCAAAATTGCATTTACAAGTACTCTTTATTGACTGTGATAATCTATTGTAAGAAAACAGCTTCTAAGCACATGTTTATTCTACATAAGTGACATGGATCAACTACCAACATGATGGCTGAGCAAGTATTTTGGTGACATCACACGTGCTTGTACTAAGGGTAGGAGCATCCCCCGATGTCTAAAAATTTGTTATTCATAAAACATAAAAGGCACCCCACACATTAATATTTCTGTTCAAAGAATAGAATAAAACTGAATCCAAGGGAGGAGGCAGAGGAGGCAGAGGAGGAGAAGGAGAAGGAAAAGGAGAAGGAGAAGGAGAAGAAGAAGAAGGAGAAGGAGAAGAAGGAGAAGGAGAAGAAGGAGAAGGAGAAGAAGGAGAAGGAGAAGAAGAAGGAGAAGAAGAAGGAGAAGAAGAAGGAGGAGAAGAAGGAGGAGAAGAAGAAGGAGAAGAAGAAGGAGAAGAAGAAGAAGAAGAAGAAGAAGAAAAAGAAGAAGAAGAAGAAGAAGAAGAAGAAGAAGAAGAAGAAGAAGAAAAAGAAGAAGAAGAAGAAGAAAGTGGAGGAGGTTGAAGAAGAGAGAGGAGGAGTTGGAGGAGGAGGAACAGGAGGAGGGGGAGGAGCTAGACCCAAGAACAGAGAAAAGAAAAAAGACTAAGAAGAGAAAAAAGACAAAAGAAGAAAAGTTTGCAATTTCAGCCAAAAGGCCAGGACATGCATTCCCATTCTTTGTATTCTACTCAGAGAATCTTATCTTCTTATCTTATCTTCTACTCAGAGAATATTGATTGGCTGAAGAAAAATCACAATCATAGTTTTAGATGTATCTATTTTCATGTTTATTTTACAAAAATTCAAGTTCAGTAGTTAATGCAAACCACAAAAAAAAAAAAATATCCATAAGAATTATCAAAGGAATTAGTAGATCAACAATCTAACCCTGAGAAACTCATCCTTGCATAAAACAAAGACGGAGCTTCACGATAAGACAGCAAAAACATTTCCTTACTGTTACAGCATGGCATACTGTAAGAAAATACTGATTCTCGTCTCTGGTCCTCCGCAGACACACAAGAGTATCCCTTTCTATCCAAGCTCTATCAACTAACAGAGAATTCAGCTTATTGCAATCTTCCATACAAAAGAAAATGGTTGAGTTCTTTCAGTTTCGCAGTGTCTTGGGCACTGACGTTCAGCTTTTCCAGGAGCTGGTGGTACTTTGGCTCCTTTTTCAACACTTCCACGATGGTTCTGGTCACAATGTGTGGCAGTGTGATGTCGTGGTAGAGATATATGCGGTTGTTAAAGGTTGCATATACTAGGCAAGGTACCTGGGGAAGGAAGCGAATGAGACTATTAAACTGCATATCCTCACTTTCTCTTTTCTTTTCATTCTGTACTCATTCCTCCTTTTCTTAGCATAATCTAATGTTTAAATTATCATTTACCAGAAGAAAGTTTCCTGTATTATCCTAAATTTGTATCCATGAAAATGGATTGATGGTTGTTTAATGAAAATGAGTACTTTTTATAATACAAGAGAGATTTCTGGAGATTATTTTCAAAGTTCTGTTATTTCAAATATTTAAGATAATGAAAAAAAAATATATATATATATAAATTTTATACACTCACCTGTTTTCCATGAAGGCCATAATGACCAGCTACAAATGCATTTACAGGTTCAGGAAAAGTATATCTAACACAGTCCGTGTTATGACATACAATATAAGTGTTTCCATCCCATGCACATGCAATGACTTCATCCCTTCCATTTCCTGTGACATCAAGTTTACAGACTGCAAAAAGTTGATGATCCACTTGTAAGTTCCACTGGATCTTCCCATTGTTCAGAAGTGTTAATGTCCCATCCAAGGTAGCTAAAGCATAGCCAAAGGTCTCTCCCGCAGCACCATCTGCATCGCTCCCAGACTCTGCCCGACCTGATCGAATGTTGCAGCACATTTCATAAGTTGAACCCTCATCTGTGTCTGTGCTGGACCTTGCCTGGCTGGAGCCAAAGTTGCTCGAGATCTCATAAGTTGTGACCTCCCCACCATCACTATTAGATCGAACTGCCTTCACATGGTCGGGCATGTCCCCCTCACTGCCATAGGAACTGGGTCTCATCTTGCCAAGTCTTATGTTTCCACATATTTCTGTGTGGATGTTTGGGTTGCGCAGTCTAGCTGATGCTAGTGGTTCGTAATCAAGGGACATCTTGGTCAACAATTCTGGCATGTTCTCATCAAAAGGATCCATTTCATTATACTGGCCAACTGGCTGTACTCTCAGAGTGAAATATGTACCTCCTGGTTGTGCTACCAAGAGTGAAGGTGTTCCATCAGGACAATTATTAAATGTTATGCTCCCAATCTGATCAGCTAATTCCCATTTATTTAGTCCAATCAGCTTACCATATGGTTTGCCACCAACAACATCCCCACAATTGACCCAACGGTAGGTGCGCACGACACGGTCGGTGAGGGCAACCACCATCTCTGAGAATCCATCCCCGTTGACATCACCTATCAGCATGACTTTCACATTAGCTGGGATCCTTTGGGCATGAATAGGCTGCAAAATCTTCTTCTCAGGGGATTCCCCGAAGTGATCATCTTCAAAGTCATAGATGTAACAGTAGCCACATCCTGTCACAACCACTAGAACATTTCTTCCTGAATTGAACAAGTCACCAACTGCAATGGCTGATATCATGCCAAGATCATTTCCTACACGCACAGGTTTGGAGTTTTCTCCCTTAAAGATGGCAAGCAAGCCATTTTCATTCCCAACCACCAACTCATTCTGCCCATCATTGTCTACATCACCCAGGCAGATGGCATTCTTGTTGATATTTCCTTCAAACTCAAATTCCAAGTGGTTGACAAATGAAGCAACTCTCATTGTAACTTCTATTAGTTGTCGTTTCTATCAAAAAAGATATCTAGCTATGGGATTCCTTTATTTTTTGCACTTCACTCATCTATATCTACATCTACAAGCTCTTCCTGATCTACTAATACACCACGGAGGTTCAGGGGCACTCTGTCTTCGGGCAAAGTGTTCTCCAACTTCTGCCAACGCTCAGGAGGCCACACAATTCTCGAGGCCTTTGCCGTTATCAGTCCCACGGCCACGGGACCAAAGAAGTTGGAGTCTAGGGAGTGTCCTGTGTGGTCCCCCTCCACCCAGCAATGGCCCTCTGGGATGCGAATGTATTTCCTTTTGTAACCTAAAGTCCTTATGAAGTCTCCCTCAAGCGCAATGATCCTCTTAATAATCTTCTGGCCTGGATCCTTCGGGGAGAT